GCACGGAATGCCGGAAGCAATCATGACCAGTGCCTTACTTCAAGTTACTTGTAACGTACCAATGAATGTACAATGAACATGAGTATTTCGACAACACATCTAAGCCTCAGCAGCAACATAAGCCTTGCATTCAAGAAGGTGAACTATATATATTATTATAATTATTAACTCGCGTTCTTCGCACACTGTACTGTAGGCAAGGGCAAAGAGATAAAATGGAAATCCGAATAAACTCAGCACACGTTTCCGTAAATGAAAGGGTGAGCATAAGCAAGTGAGTCGAAGGAACCTGGTCAACTCAGAGATCACCTGTCATTGAGTATTCCGTAAAAGGAGGCCTCGACAGCAGAAAAGCTAAATTTAGAAAAGAGATCCTGTCAGCTTTTCCATTATTTATTGTATTCCACCTAAAATCAGCACACTTTTCGTAAATGAAAGAGTCAACACAAGCAAATGAATCAAAGGGAACTGGTCAACTCACCTGTCATGAGTAATATTCCCTGAAAAATTTGGCTTGTTTGAATACGGTTGCATGTTTCTGAGCTCCGATAGAATTCAGCGGTAACCAGTGTCTAATACCAAATATGGCTTCAAGAATTCCAGTATCAGTTCAGGACAGGCCTACTACTAGTCAACCCGTTATCCCCGTACGCTCTATGTAGAAGAAGTGCTGCTTCGGAGAGATCTCCACCGGACAACATTCGCCCTGGAGCCGTGGAGGGATATCGACCCAGAAGGTCAAGCTACACGCTGCTCGACCCAGCTGCATCCCACCGGATCATCCGCTTCTACCGAGTCCGTAGATGTGGTATGGGTTAATCGCGGTCATCCGTGCTTTTATACGAACGAAATGGCGCTTTTAGTTTTAGTGACATTTTGCATACAAATCCCCATCTAGTAGGGCGCAGTCACCCAGTTTCGGTGGACGTGCGTGAGTTCGATAGGGATTAAAGTAGGAAGGGAGCGTCTCAGCTTCCTCGGACCACGACCATTCGACTCAGCACCCCGAAGACTACAACTGGTGAAATTTTGATTTTTGCCTTAACTCCCCCGAAAGGAGGCACCGACAGCGGAAGAAATAAAGTTCGAAAAGAGATCCTGTCAGCTTTTCAATTACTTTTATTGCATTCTACTAGTACCTAAAAAGCGGCACACTTTTCGCAAATGAAAGAGTCAACACAAAGAAATGAATCAAAGGGAACTGGTCAACTCACCTGTTATTGAGTGAGTAGATAATCAAGCGAGGTACGGAGGGCTTGATGGTTGATCAAAGCCCAAGGGCTTTGATGCCCAAGGGCTTTGATCAGACATCAAGCCCGACTGGACCTCGCTTGGATATGCTTCAGACGGTCCCCAGCATTTTTTAAATATTTTGAATCACTTTATTCTTTGGGTGATCTCGAGTGTGTGGGCAATGTCGGCCTTTCGTTTGGGATTTTAGAGCAGCCTGAAGACTAAAGTGCATTTTTGTTTTCACTGTCCCGTTCGTAAAAGTTGCACACAGAGATTACAGGATTGGGCATGATCAGGACTTTGATGATTTTGTCATACGAGTACAGTTGCCATTGGCAGCAGGCTTTGATGGTTCTCGTACAGGTTGACCCTGACAGGGGCCTATACTGGCATAAGAGGTTATGCGATAATGTCAAATCCGCCATATATAGGAGCCAGTTGGGGTGGCAAAATGCCCAAGCGGGTACAGAAACCCCTTATATAGAAGAATTTGGGGTGGCAAACGTACTATATGACGTGTATCGCATAACCTCTTATAGAGGTTATGCGATACACGTCATATAGGGGCTTTGCATGTATGATGGAATATCAAAGCCCGCTCTCCGAGGCTGCTGAATGGTCGTAGCCTAGCAAAGGGCACGTGGGTAGTTTGAATATTCCGTGAAAGGGGTCTCAGCAGGGCCGAAGCGAAATAAGCCAGGCCAGGAGACGAAATATCCGAAACAGCTCATACAAGAAGCAGTTCCAAAGAAGGAAGTTTCTCGTGCATACACATCCGAAAAGGCTGCAACAAAATGTCTGCCATGCGATGGTAGGAGCTATGAAGCAGGGAGTCGTAAAATACTTACGACTCCCTGCTATGAAGTAGCTCCCTGGTCCAGGTGCCGAACACCTTATGTAGAAACTTACGTAGACAACTCGTCTCAATAGCAGTGTCGTTCCGTTGGTCCCAAAAATGGAAACTTTCACGGTCCGGTATACCCTATCCTTGGTCATGTACATACAATTATCCCTTCACTGTGCATAGTTCGAAACTCCCCCCCCCCCCCCCCCACACACACAATGGTTGCTTCTTTGCTTTGTCACACCACAACCATTCAACGCGGTGAATCCCTCGATAGGCGATTTGCCTTTGGGTCATCCTACTAAAGTTAAGGTTAGCTCTTACATTGCGGACACAATAGTAGAAAAGCTGACAGGATCGCTTTTCTAAATACACACACCATAGACCATGTATACCAGTCACAAGAGAAGCAGCACACAACTCTGCAAAGGTACTGGATTGTGCACCCACAGATTTTCTCTTATAGCAACGATAGCAGACAAAATCCGATTGAACCAGGTCAAGACTAGCAACCGATAACTGCCTACTCCACACACAGGCACAAGGACACACACACACACACACACACGCACAGGCACACACAGACACGCACACACAGACACACACACGCACACACAGACATGCACAGACACACACAGACACGCACACAAACACACACACGCACAGACACACAGACACACGCACACACATACACACACGCACACCCAGACACACACCATTGGACCATTGGACAACCATCGCCAGAGGCGATCATAGCGATGCTACGGCAGAAGCCATAGCAGCTTGTGCTGGGATTGCACAATTCAACAGCTTGCAAGACCGCCACTATTCAGCCTGGTCTACACCACACAGCTATGAAGTGGCTTTTTCTGGCAAGTGAATCCCTACTTTTTGGTCTTTTTTCATTTTTTTCCGCACACACATCACACCACATACTCCGGCATGCACTGGCTGTTGGTAACCAGGGAGTAGTATTGTACTACTCCCTGTTGGTAACCACCCAGGAGAATGAAAGAAAAGTCAGGAAGAGTCTGAGAAAGAGAAGAAAGACATTTGTGACCATAATCGTCGGGAATCGAACCCGCAACCTCTCGATTGGAAATCGCTGCACATACCACTGCACCATATGGGACACACACCCCCCAGACACACACATAGGTACACACCCACACACAGACATGCAAAGACACACACACACAGACACACCCAGACACGCACACAGACACACACACAGACACGCACAGACACGCACACAGACACACACACTCACACACTCACAGGTACACACAGACACAGACACACACCCACACACAGACATGCACAGACACACACAGACACAAGCACACAGACACACGTACACACACACACAGACAGACACACACGCACAGACGCAGACACGCACAGACACACAGACACACACACACAGAGACACACACACGCACGCACAACAGGACTATAGTGCAGCTCGGTGAATTCCGATCGCATGAGTCATGTATTGTACCACGTCATGTGTTGTACCGCGTTGTCATGTATTGTACCGCGTCATGTGTTGTACCGCGTTGTCATGTGTTGTACAGGCCTCTTTTACAGCAAATGAACACAATGGATTAAAATGCAATAAATCATACACTGGACAAGAAATCAGAAAAATGCATGTTTAAAATTAAGAATTTCAAACCCAAACCAAAAGAACTTCAAATCAATTTTTTTATAATACAAAAAATCAATCAATAATCTCAATAATGTGTTGTACCGCGTCATGTGCTGTTGTACCGCGTCATGTGTTGTACCACGTCATGTGTTGTACCGCGTCATGTATTGTACTGCGTCATGTGTTGTACGCGCCGGTTGCTGCACAGCCGTAGACCTGGAAACCAGAGAGTCAAACCCGGGCTGAGTTTCCTAAGCTAGCCCCATATTGGGCGCTTTCGATTAAACGCATTTCGGTCAATTCTAGAATTAGTTATTGTTGATGCACAGTTCGATTACACAAAAAGTGACAGACTCCGTCGTTAGAATTGATTTTATCCAATTCCGTCGAATCCATCAATTCTGAAGAGAAGGCGGAATTTCTCTAATTCTGGCGCCAGAATTGCACTGTCAGCGTGGTACCGGTTTGGTCACGACTCAAGCGCGCGACGAGCCTCCCTGGCCGGCGGGTGCGTGATGCTAGGTCCACATGCGCGCGATCGATCGCGAGGGTGTACGTGATCTCTTTTTGCGATTCATCAATTTCGTTTATGACATGACATGAATAAAATGCGTTGCGAATTCCGGTCGTTCGTTTACAAGGCCGGAATACGCTCATTCTGGTCATTCCAGAATTTAAAAAAACAGTTCCAGAATTGTGTAAACGTGTAATCGAAAGCGCCCATTGTAAACATACCGTACGATCAAGAGTCCTTAATCCCCCAGAGTGCGCAACTGGCATGGGGTTGTGGGACGGTGTAATCCGTGATGTACGTAATTTTTTTGGGTCGGACTTGCGTCATTCCGTCCATGCGGTTCACCACGGTCCACACTTCCCCTACCCCTCATGTCATACTATGCCGTGCAACACGAATTTCGCCGTCCCAGATCTGACAAGTGAAGTTGTGCACTCTGGGGGATTATGCACTGTTGAAACAATCTCTAGTGATAGCACGTCACGTATAAGAGGGGGCATATCGAAAGCTAGAGCACGACCCACCACAGGCGTATTTTCACATGTAAACAGGGCCCGAAGTTACTCTGTCGCTGCACCCCGCCCTTCTCCCACACACACCCTTGCCATGGTACTTAGCAGCACAAGCCCGCTGCGCAACGACGTACTCTGTACCACAAACAACTCGCACAGCCACCTAGGCGTGGTCGTCCGGGTGGGGTGTTGAACAAGTCATCCCTGATCGCGGCGTACTCGCGTGCATTACTCGTCCAATCCATATCTGGCCATGCGCAAAGGGCTCATTACAATACTAGCGTAAAGCCAACAGGACAGACAAGCACGCAATTGCACAGAGAAAAAATTAATATTGATTACTACTTGAGTGAGTGAAACGTCCTAAGAATTCTAAAAATTAAGAAGGCAATAAAAAGGAAAAAAAAACAGAAAAGAAAGCGGGAACTATCGCATCATAAGGAAATTTCGGCAAAAAAACTATCAAGCCCATCACAAGTCTTTGTTCAGGACAAGAACTAACACAGGCATTGCCAACAAGTACAGTGAACACCACCGTCACCAACACTTTCTCTACTTGCATATCGTCCACCAGAGGATAAGGTTAGAAAACAAAATCTGCAGTCAAACGTACACAGAGCACAGCAGAACAGAGAGAGAAAGAGACAAGGAACTATCTCAGACAAGCTTTCAATGATATGGAGGAGTGGACAGACCATTGCACATGGAATGAGGTAGATAAAAAAACAATAAGAGAGAGAGAGAGGGAGAGAGAGAGAGAGAGAGAGAGAGAGAGAGAGAGAGAGAGAGAGAGAGAGAGAGAGAGAGAGAGAGAAAGAGAGAGAGAGAGAGAGAGAGAGAGAGAGGCGATGAAAGAGAGTGAGAGAGAGAGGCGATGAAAGAGAGTGAGAGAGTGAGTGAGTGAGAGAGAAAGCGAGAGAGAGAGAGGCGATGAAAGAGAGTGAGAGACAGGCCCGTAACCCGAACCACAAGCACATAGCCTGCTGGTCCCTCAGCATGCAATCCAATTGCGCTACATAGAAAGTGCACACAGTAAGCACATAGCCGTGTTGTTTACATGCACTGTTGCAAAAACACCGTACTCCAACTACCCAATCGGGTTCTCAGGAGCAAACCGCTACCGTGCTACCCGATCAAATCACGGGTAGCACGGGTACCCTACTACTCGTTGATACCTCTACTTCAGATTACATCACTGTATTGTAGAAATTTTAGGTGCTCAATATTTTCGGTACGAGGGCAAAAGGCCAGGTGAGGTGAACAGAAATTTTCTGTACAGAGAAGCAGTTCCCCATTGGACTATGTGTGTTAGTGTTTGTTCGGTGTGTTGAACTTTTAGGTATGAAACAGATGCACGGAAAGTACCGAAAATAAAAGCACAGCGAAAATTTGTGAAATTACAGTACATCACACTGTATTTGTACATGTGTATGCCCAGCCGTATTCGTACCACTTCCAGGGCGTTAATGGGTAGCACACATTGAGGGCGTCAAGTGTGCACGCCAAGGCTGTGTTTTAACCCTTTATGTACCGAAAAAAATGTACGCAGACTGAATTTGATCTCGACTCGCCTCAAATTCCATAATTCTCCGGGTCATAACTTTGGTCTCCTTCTGATGATTTTTTCAATCTTGAGCTTCCTGGAAAGCTCGTCGCAAGAGGAACACATTGAGCCCACACTTGCCACCACGAAGGTCAAAACTCCAGCGCTACAACCCAGCGTCTTAGTTGCAACGCCAATATTTCGACAGAATTCGTCTTGTATCAGCCATTTCGCTCTCCTTGCTTGTAACAACTAGTTTTTACTTCCAAAAAATTTCACAAGCTGCCACGAGTCCGCTTGCCATTTTGAATGTGTTTCCACGTCACTGGATGCCCAGAAAGATGGGGAAATCCCTCATTCAAATCTGCGCACGCGGCTATTGAGCGACAATTGCCGCGATTTGACTTTCGAGCTTCGTAACTCTGGAATCGCACGTCGGAGTGTTTCGGCGATTGTTTCAATGGACAGCTGGGATTTTCTCTTCGACCTACATAATTTAGGTTTCGGAAATAACCCAGAAATGACTGAGTTACGATCGATTGAAAATTTGAAAAGTTTCGATCCCAGGGGATCGAAAGTTGTACAGTCCGTACACAAAGGGTTAATACATGAGAAATTTCAATCCGGGTCGAGTTCAGCCCGGGTTGAAAGTCTGTACGATAGACAGAATAGGTGAGCGTTTACATGAAGACAGTTGACACGGGTCAAATACTGATATGCCGCCAAAAGTCCACTTTTGTACTCTTTTGTCAAAACTCCTGTATGGTCACGTGAATACTTTCGCGCGAGATTTGTATGTTTAGTGCTATTCAAAACTGGCGTGAGATACGCACAGAAGTACGATTTTCTCGCCCCGGGGCGAAATTTCAACCCGGGTCAAGCGCAATGCGTCATGTAATCGCGCCATTCATTTCGTGTACAAGGTGGGTTGAAATCTGACCCGGGTCGAACTCAACCCGGGGCAAAATTTCAACCCGGGTCAAGCGCAATGCGTCATGTAAACGCGCCATTCATTTCGTGTACAAGGTGGGTTGAAATCTGACCCGGGTTGAAACGCCCCATGCAAACACAGCCCAAATCGGATTTCACTGAGCGCAACCGTATTCGCAAGCATCATGGCAGTTATATGAAAAACCCTACAAACATCATTCTCAAATCAAGTGGTCTCTTCGCTGCAAATTACTAATTTCTTAATCAAATTTTCGGCCACAACAGCCTATTTTATGTTTCAATAAACAAGCGTTTCCGGGACAGCAGTTTTAATATAGCAACAAGGATGACTACCGTAAACTACCGTTGAACTGCCCCCCCCCCCCCTCCCCACGCCATGTCGCTTCCCAGCTGGGTTTTCGGCAGGGGGCGGGAATTAGATCAAGGCTGTCAAGTGCAGTACGATGTACAACAACGTGGAGGATCAGACTCGATGTGCTGGATTGTGCACATTTTCATCCTGCATTGGCACGTATTGTGTACAGCAGTGCATGCGTCGGTTCAACATCGTATTTCGTTGCATACGCCAAAGTCGTTTCACAGGCAGAATGTCGACAGGGGGAGGGGGGGGGGGGGCAATTAGAGAGGGGGCGGGTACTTTACGGCAATTGTACTGTAAGCATCTTCTAATGTCAACATGTGTGAGTAAAATGTGAAACGATGATCGCAAGGCACACAAGGAAAAGGAAAGATAGGATTTGCTCAGATCTGTTTTCTTGTTACATTCATCGGTGAATCTATAATTATTAGAACAATGGTATCTTTCTTTTCGTTGTGTGCCTTGCGATCATCCTTTCACATCTCACACATACATGTTGACATAATTATACTAGATACCTGCAGTGCAATTCGTCGTCCTTGTAGCTACAGTATGTTTCTACGTTTGTGATTTTTCCGTTCACACAGCAAAATTGCAGTTACAAATCAATTGTTCCGCGTGCTCTCTGCACCCGTACATTTCATATTTTGTGGCAGGCAAATACGGTTGAACTGTTTGTCCCGGTGAGTTTGCATTGTTGTTTGCAGTCTACTTACGGAATGTTGTCTACGTTAGAGTACCTAAAATGGAGCTCAACTAACCGAGGTGCTCTGTAAGTGGATTGCGGTATACAGTTATGACTCCCCCCCCCCCCCCCCCCCCCCCCAGGTCGGACACTGTCGCATTCGGAATTGCCAAGGGCAGCTACATAAGTCGAAAACTCTGTATGGCAGAACACGGATCAGCATGCAGTGTACGTAAGACTTTCCGTAGATCCAATACATTTATTATTATTATTACGACCGTAGCTCCGTTGTGTGTAGCCTTTCTACTGCTGTAGAACACCACTCCAACGGTTAAGTCCTGGGAGGATTGTCCAATCACTGGTACGTGTGTGCATGTGTGTATGCTGGTGCAACTTGGCCACAAAATAAGATACGTTGAGAGTTCATCACGTTCAAGACCCATCGATCTATCGTCCGTTGTTCTGCTATAATTACCGTAGCTGTAATGTACAAATTTGTACTTTGGTCTCGGACTACGCATGACGGCATCAGTGAGCCAAACCGCCGCCAAAGACTGATATCATTAAACAAATTCTACGGTGGGCTGGGGGATCGTCGAGTTGCACACTCTTGGTTATGTACTCTTGGCTCCGGGCATCTGGTAACCACAGACCTGCGAACACCGGGCTGAAAAAAGATGCCCTGCGCGTACTTGAGTGACGACGCGACAGGATATCAATGAGGAGCACAGTGCCGCTCAATGAAAGAAAATTCGAACGACAAGTCAGCATTCGCACTTTCGAACGTTCAACTGCATTCGAGCATACGGTGCATATTTGATGGACACGCATGTGCTATACAGGTACTGACCATACAGTAGTGCCGGACGCCGAAGAAGGGAGCGCCGAAGAACGACCGGGCTAGAATTTTCCCAAGCCCATCATACCATTGTACACATACGGTGACTCCACAGTGCATAGACTGTAACACATGAAAATAAGGATGCTCTAGGCCAGGAGGCTGATCCCCCACCCCACCCACACAGTGATTTCAGACAACCGACAGTACTGTGGTATGTGTCAGGGCAATAGCAGCAGCTAGGTGCGTGCTCTGTCAAATCACATTCCAAAGACGTCCAGAGTTCACAACAGGCACAAGAGTGCACCGCACTGTCCATGACCCAGACCTCCCCCCCCCCCCCCCAAATAAATAACTTTCCCATGGGATGACTGTCCCAGAGCTGCCCACTCTGCTATAGGTACTGTTGTTTGCAGTTGACTTACACACTCACTGTGGTGGTCGCTACGCAATCACTTCGCCGCCAGTCTCAGCGCAATCGTGTCCAACGCAGCACGTAAGGAGGCAATCTGTTCCGCCTCTTCGTCGCTGATTTCTATTTCTGTATGGGGATGGATGAGCGTGCGCACGCACAAACCCACCAAGGCACACAAGCAACCACCGACCCATACACGCATACACACACATACACACACATGTACATGCAACCACACGCACGTACTCACACAAATACGCACACACACACACACACACACGCACACACACCATTTGACGCCCATCGTCGGAGGCGATGATAGCGATGCTACAGCAGAAGCCATAGCAGCTTGTGCTGGGATTGCACCATTTAACAGCTTGAAAGGCTGAAGAATTGACCGTTACTATTCAGCCTGGTCTACACCACACAGCTATGAAGTGGCTTTTTCTGGCCTGTGAATCCCTAATTTTTGGTCTTTTTCATTTTTTTTCACGCGCACCCCCCCCCCCCCCCCACACACACAAGCACACATAGAGAAAAGCACAGGCTTGTAAAATGTCTTGCAGAGCATTCAGATACACAGCATAGAGCACTTGATATACCGGTAGTGAGATACACAGCAATCTGATACACAGCAGAGCACTTGATATACTGGTAGTGAGATACACAGCACAGAGCACATGATATACTGCTAGCGACTTGCACAGCATTCAGACATACAACAGGGAGCACATAACAGCAGGGCTGAGAGCTGGTTGTAGCAGCCTGCCACAGGACCTGCAAATCGTGGCCTTGCAAAACACCTGACCTGACCTAGGGTACCCTGTAAAAAGACTTACAGTCTGTGGGGATTGCCCTAGTAAAATAAATTAAAATACGACATCTCGGACGGTGAGCCAATTAAATTCTTGTGAAAACGGAGAAGGACAAAATGTTACGAGTTATAACTAACTGTCCACCAACGTAACTAGATCTTAACCAGATCTTATACAGTCAGCGAGAGTCAGTACTCCTTGTCAGTTTTGTGCTATTTTGTCGCACTCGCTGACTGTATAAGATCTGGTTACGTTGGTGGACAGTTAGTCATAACTCGTAACATTTTGTCCTTCTCCTTATTCACAACAACTACACCTACTACTACCACCTACAACGGTAACATCTAGAGTAGAGTCGTGCGTCCTAGAACAATGTTTCCAAGGGGTCGTTAGCCTGGGGCATTTTCATTTTTCAGTAACCTGGCACGTTCTTAGAAACAATTCGTACTGCAGCCTGCCTCGACTACAGCACATGCTTCTGCAGAGAGAAAGCCTGCGCTAAGACGCTGGCAAGATTCAGACAGACGAGCTCAGGATCCGCAATTCGCGTGTCAACTTGTGAGCACACAACGTCAACACGCTGGGCTTGGTGCTTTCGAGATATCACAGGCAAAACGCCACACTCCGGTTGATGAACCGCTGGTACTACCAAGAGTACATGGCCCCCGAGAGTGTGCAACTGCCTGCGCAGCCTCTATAGAGTGCTGCGACGGCAGCAACTTCACATCACGTGACATAGGCGAAAAGGTTACGCTGGCAAACGGGGCAAAGCGACCACAAGAGAGTTGAACCCAAAGCAGGCTTGCGTACAACCCTGCATCTAGCATGCACAGGGTGCACAGCATTTCGTCACGTGATGTGAGGTTCTGCCGTCGCAGACCCCATAGCTGGCGCTGCACACTCTTGGGGGTTATGTACTCTTGGTACTACAGAGAGTCCCTCAAACAGCCCACTTCACCAACCTGGCATCATTTCTACTCCACAGTTCTAGTCAGCCTACTTTCATGCGGCATATTACACAGTTTAACATGTTATTTTCGGTGTCATTTTAATTTCGGTATTCTCGGTACAGAAACCAGATACCTATAGTGCATTCGCCAAATCCAGGCCCCTGATGATGATGGAAAGTTTGCAAAGGCTGACCCGTGTGTGTGTGTGTGTGTGTGTGTGTGTGTGTGTGTGTGTGTGTGTGTGTGTGTGTGTGTGTGCGTGTGTGTGTGTGTGTGTGTGTGGACTACTTCTGGCTAGATTAACTCTTGTGTAATCATGGTGCTAGTGAAGCTTGTATCAGATCCACTCTGATTTAGCCACCCACACTAGTAGCAAGTATTACCTTCACTGGGGCAGGGGTAACTGCAGTTGGATCCCGGGACGGATACCCTGATGCCGTCAATCTTTTTTCTGCACCTTGTCCTCACCCACTTACTGAGGTGTGGTGAGCCCATTAGTGGGATCATTTTCAAGTCCACCCAGAGTTTTGGGGATTTCAGGGGGTGTCGGCAGTTGGGCGGTTCAATAGCCAACTGAGTCATCTTTCCAAGATTCCTTTCGAGTCTCTCTCCCCTTTCCCGGGAGACCCACGTGACCAGTTTTGGCAGTGAGCAACAAGTACAAGTGTGTGTGTGTGTGTGTTTTATCTGAGTTTTCAGTCGTTCCTCTTACTAGTCTTAGGCCACGGGGTGGCTCTGGGTCCACCAGAGTCGCCCCTGGCGTGTTTCTGAATTTGCTGGGGCGAGGGTTCCGCGACGCGGTCGCCAGGGCAGTGTCTTTTCTGTCACGACCGTTGTCGTCCTCGTCGTCTCTCCGTTCGCGGTGGTGTAGCTGACCCCCGAATGGTTTCAAAACTGCGAAGCTCGGAGTACAGTGATGGCAGAGGCATGAGCTGTGAGTGGAGACGGTTGCTGAAGATGGATGGTGATGAAGGGAGAAGAGTTACGCTGCCTGACGACGCGTGGGAAATTGTTTGATCCTGCAATTTCAGTTCGAGCGCGGTGGACTTCTAGACGATGTGTCCTCATGGCTGTTTTTCAACGTTTGGCCTATCACTGATATCCCTGCGTGGAATGTTCTTCCAGTGGAGTCCAGGTGGGACTTCGGGTGCCCACACTCCATCACCTGGTTGATTGTTTCGGAACTGCAATAATACAGGTTCAAATAATTATTGTTTCCTTTTTGTGCGTATCTCTTGTCATCTCTCTTTTCTATACGTCGCACACCAGATGTACTACTATCGCTGTCTTTCTCCTGCTATCTCACTCTGCTTGCTGTTTTTGTTTTTGTTGCCACTGCCCCTCATCATACCCATGCTTGGGTGGAGGGCGGCGTGACCCGTTAGGGTAGCTGTCAATACAGTGCAGCGCAGTGCGTGCGTGCGATGCACTCAGACCGTTCCAAGGTGGTCTCGCTACAACCGCACAATGCACCTGCAATCATGAAAGTAATGTCTGCTTTAAATCCAGTCGGGAAACTACTGCACGAGAGAGTTGAGCTGCCATGAGTTTTAATTCCCGAAATCTTGTTCATACACATATCCTAAGCCCTCACTGAATTAATCAATACAATCACCATTGCACCATTGTTGTTATTGTAGTCACTTTGTACCCTTTAATGAACACATAATTGGAGCATAATGTTCTGGTTACTGTGCAGGCAGAAAATTTCGTCGGTGAATAATTCCGTCCAACACCAAAGAAAGGGAGTTCGTCCGGTTGAAAAATTCGTCCGTGGATCACAAGGGTGTATTGAAAAGCTGGACAAATCGACATTAGTCCGGCACTAAATTTAGTCCAAACGCTCCGTGGACGAAAAAGACGAAATTAAATTCCAGACGAATATTTCTGCTTGTACAGTACATTGTTCGATGTACTTCCTCCGCGTCATCGAAATTGTCGCAGTTTGACTAGTGACTTGTCACTTGTTACTGACAACTCCACAAGCTAAACCATTCAAAAGTTATTACGCAGTATGATAGTCTGAAGACTAGAGTAACGTTCCAGGTCAGTTGGACTGGGAGTTTTCACGCAGAGATGAAGGTCTCGTCGTCGCTGATGTCAATGGACGCAAAAATATCGTTCCGAAATATTTCACGGAAGGTTGAAAGTTGGTCGCGCCTCATCTCAAACGCTTTGACGTTCTCCACAGGACAAGAGCTGCTATGCTTGTCGTCTGCTAACTCTGGATGATTTCTACTTCACCACCAACGAAGCATGAATACACGATCGTTGCGAGGTCGGTTGATTACCGTCGGCGGAATCACCTCGATCTTGAAATGAACTTTTTTTAGCCGTGGCATGCTCATATATTTTAGCTGTGTGGCCACAGCTCACGCAGGTAAGTGTACTATCACGTCCAGCATGCCCTCTTTTTCACCATCACTGGTACGGCACCTGCGTGTGCATCACTAGCATTACGTGTAGAGTCTACACGGCTCTTGCAGGTACAATCATGTAGATCTACTGAGTGTCTCAGCCAGAGCGACAAATTTTATCGCTGTTGCATGCATTTAGTTTGCTGACCCCTCGATGTTTCTCCAAGCGCTGCCACTTGTTCCACGAAGTCATTCTCACCCCAGCTAAGGTAAAACAGTGATGAGGCTTGAGTGAATGGCCATAAGCACGAGATATGTGCAGGCTGCAACGCCTGACTGATCTCAGCGAGTCGAAATTACCATCGCAGCGACATCAGCGAAGAAATTGCGTCTAGTTCAAAACATTCAGCTTCCAATAACAGAAAATATAACTTTGCCGTCACCCTATACTGATGACTATCGCCTATGTCCGATTTCTTGCCTGTATTACGAGTGCTGGTGAGTAAATACCCCGTTTTTTGTCAAAAGTCAAACTGCGACAATTTCGATGACGCGGAGGAAGTAGGTTCACTGATGACCATCGAAAAAAAACATTCTGAATTCTTCCTTCGGCCCTCTTCAGACTAGGTACAAAACAGCCTATAAGTCACATTTACATAGAAGTTTCCAAGACAACTACAAGAATCTGGCGGGAAGCCTAAAAAGCTGCCCAATCCTTTCCTGCATTTATCGTACTTTCACCAGGCAGTGGAACAAATGTACAAACTTTGTACGACTGCCGGCTGCTTTCACACATCTCAGGCCCCTTGCGCAGTTGTGTAGGGTCAAAGGTTGCCTGTATATTGCATGTCAAATGTGTAGTCTGAATGCAGGCGTGGAAAAATGTTGCCTTTTAGGTTTTATGTGATTCTGTACTGGATGTTCTATGTCCGTAGTCTGTAGAGGGTCTCAAAAAATTATTTTATTTCATAAATTCATTATGGTATTATGTTGGCATGAATTGTTTTATTAGTAGCTTTGGTGAAACTCACCGAATTCATCCTCCAAAGCCATGACAATCTCGACCGCATCGAGGCTGTCTAGACCGAGATCGTCAATGAATTTGGCTTCCTCTGTGACCTACACACACACACACACACACACGCGCGCGTGCGCGCGAGCACGCACATACATACACGTGCCCGCACAAGCACAGCCGTAAAGATGAATGCACACGCCCACACACGCATATGCACACGGACACATGCGGGTGTTCCATAAGTACGCGCACCGTTCAGCCGAGAACGAAGCGATACGCACAGAGCAAATCAACAGGTTCCAGAGTGAAGACAGTTTATAAACAAATCTGGTCTTGCCCACTGACACTGGGCATTGACAATCATGCCTGCTTTGGCCACTCAGAACCCACGCAGAAGTTCTTGCAATCATTTTCTTCACTTCTGCATTGGCTGTGAGGCCAGAATCTCTCTACATCAGTGGTCTGCTGAATGGAAAAGCGTAACACAGGGTAAATAGACGACGCGCAGACAACGATTTTAAAACAGCAATAACTAGGATGAATTCTGCCGTCTTCGAGACCTCAGGTCGGCGGAGATGCTCCAGTTTCACCACCACAGTTGCGTCTGCAGCCACCGCTATCATGCAGTATTCTGTTCTCGAGGTTGATGGTTTCTCGTACAAAAAAAAAACAAAAAACAAAAATCACTATACATCCACGAAGTCCAGGTCCTTCTTGACTTCTTTTATGTGTAGTGATGACGGAGATATTCATCCTATTCATTGTTATCATAACACAGGGGAATAGGTTGATGAGATATGCTCCCTAAAAGCGGGACCAGTGCTCTCAGATGCAGAAAGGCACAGCATGCGGCTACTTGTACTGTCAATCAACGAATATTCAACATGTACACGTAATGATTCGCCGTTTTTGCCAATGATTCGCCGTTTTTGCCACAAAACTCTGAGTAACAACAAAACAAGGCTTCCTTCAATTGTGAAATGATGTTCCAGGCTCCCCTCTGTGGGTTGAGCAACTTCGCAACTTATAATCGCAAGTCAACGCCAACTCTGCTCCATGCTTTGGCGAAAGTTTGTTGCGACTGAAATTACACGTATAAAATTTTGTATGCCAGGCACGGTGTGATGTGGTATACGGGCAGCAGTGATACGGCCTGAAGTTTTAACCCTTTACCGGTCTACCATAAGCGAACCGATACTATAGTATCGGTACGTTTGGCCCTCATTTTTTTGGGGTCTTGTTGCTAGGAGACAGCTAAAATGGCGCTCTACGCGTAGCTGAGGTCCAAGGCTTTCTGACGCTGTACAAAACAACCATGCTTACCATACAAATTTTTGCCGTATCGATCGACTGAAGTTTGTTGAAATTGGAAAAGACGACCATCCGCCATACGTGCATTTCGAGAATGCGAGTGCATCTCTTGGGGCCGTGTTTGACAAGCGTTCTGAGAGCAGTAACACCACCAGTCCAGGCTGGATCTCCCGGGAGGTTTTGCAGTGTAGTGTGTTGAGAAAAAGAGCTCCGTTGAGTCCTGCTAGTTCAAAAATATATCGTCCACGAATGAAGAAACAAAATTCTCCAAACAGAGAGGAAGCCTTCTTGCTGCCGACACGGCGACAGCGACTGTCACAAGGACTCGTCAGGTGCGATCAGCTGATTCGCCTGGCCGTGAGAATCACGGCATGCGTAAGCTCGCGCCTGAGTGCTCATCTGAGCGAGAGTGAATCTGACGCGAGCAGCCCTGAGATGAACAAACCGAAGCTGCGATATCGTGGAATGGGAATTGCTGCTGCTGGCGTATCGCCGATGGCGAGGTGTTGGTGTTCAATGGCGGTATTGTAGAGAGCCTACATTTCTTGTAAAGACGTAGCCCTTACCTGATTGTTTATCGTACGACTTCAGCTCCATCACGAACTTGGTATGCCCTTCGTGTTGTGATATTCGTGTATTTCATTCGCAATTGTATTTTCTCTCAACTTGAAGGGCTACCATGGGCCCTATCCTTGCCTGGACCTAGTCATATTTGAATTTTCTGGACGCGTTCAGGCATACAGATTTTGAAAATATATGGTTTACCCAAACCTACATCACACGGTTCTTGAGTTATTGCTGGTTGTGTGTACATGTATTTGCGTGACAACCCCTCACATACATTGAGTTAGGCCGGCAAAGGGTTAATGTGGCCATAAAGAAATTAAAACGCGCTGAACATTTGTAGACTCAGTACTTGGAACATGTAATGGCAGACCCCAGTGAACATTGCTGCTAGGCGTTTTAATACGCAGATAGGACAGAATCAAACAAACCTTCTCTGGATCGACGCGCTGGAAGTTCTTGACGACATTGAGGGCCCGAGCTCGAACCTCCTGCTGGTCTTTCTCAGACAGTTTTTCCATGCTGCAGCGCACTGCAGAAGTCACTAGGCAGCGAGAAGCAGAGAACTGCGACGAGCGAGCAGCGCTGAAAACGCTCATACCCGCTGCGGTGGGACGAACTGTGGCAATTTGTGCCATTGATCTGCATGACAGCAGACGGAAAACTGAAGAGCAAGCCATGACTCCGCGACCAAGGAGTTCCCTGAAACAGACTAATACGATCGTTCCCTTTGATCTTGTCTTCTGTAATTATTATTTTAATATTATTATAAATATGTATTGATTTTCAAAAAATAAAAGTGCACTGCACGTTTATCACGTTATTACGTAATACATGTAGCTACGTAGGACCAAGAGTAGATAAACAAGAGTGTGCAACTCCGGATCTCTCCTGCACAATCTGCGCCCACGGCGGAATTTTTTGTTTACGTCACCTTTTTTCAGAGAAACGCGGCTTTGCCGCAGAGCAGTGTGAGAGCACGTGCTGGGCACCGACCTTGCAGTGTAAAGCCCAGCCAAGTGCACGAGGGAAACTCTCCAAAAGGCTCGCAGCGCGTGCGTCGTCGAAAAGATTACGTCAACAAAAAATTCCGCCGTGGGCCAACCCATGCGGAGTTGCACACTCTTGTTTATCTACTCTTGGTAGGACGTTTGCCCCAGCAGCAATGACGTCATGTTCAAGTGCTTTTTGGGTGGCCTCGATTTTGGGCAGGCCTGTCCGGATTATGTTTTGCGCATCCCTGGTTTTGCATATTTTTCGCATTTTGGGGTTTTTTCAGCTTTTTTTCGCATTTTGGTTTTTTCAGCATTTAAAGAATGATGTTTTTAGCATTTTGGGTAAATTTAACATTTCCATTTTGACCCTTCAAAAAACGCATAATCCGGACTGAGTTACTCCTAATACTCGCGTTCCTTGGCTTGGGTCACCATGGTCACGTTTGGGTGCAGCTGATATTTACATAATCTGTCAGCCACCCAGTTTGAATGGCGTTTTTTTGTTCTGTAACTAACTACTTGTTCTGAATGGACGCTTTTTCCGTTCTTCTTCGCTCGTGTAATAGTGGACATGCCCGAAGAGACTCAGTCGGTAGCTAGCTCCACTAGTGTCTCTGCATCGCCAGAGCAATCAAAAGATTCTGTTGGGGCCGTGATGGATAAAGTTTTGCGTCGGAAGAAAAAGTCGTCATGGAGAGTGTGACGAGATGAAGTTGTTTCTGTCCCACCATGGCAAGTCGGACAAGGGCAAGAAGGAGGAACTGATCCAGCGGTAAGTACTATCACGCTTGAATAAAATATTCTGAACCAAGTGTGATGCTCTGTAACTCTTGTGCAATCAGCTCAGTACCATCTGAAGCCTTTTTTTGACAATAATAATTATTATATTTCCAAATATTGAGAATCGATCTCACCATCGTACCTATGGTCAACATGACCTGTAGTCTTGACACGATCGTATGAATAGTGATGATGGACAATAAGGTAGTAAGGTATTCTTTGCCAGCCAGTCTTGTGCATTAGAGTTTTTGTTAGTGTTGAAACGAGCGCAGAGGTCTAGCCAGGATTTTATGCCAGCCTGCCAACGTTCTAGTTAAAATGCATCGTTCTGGGGGCTGCGCCCCCAGACCCCCCCCCCCCCCATCAGTCATGTATCCACACAGACACACACACACACACACACACACACACACACACACACACACACACACACACACACACACACACACACCACTCCAATCTTTCATTGCAGCTTGCATCTCCTTTCGCTTCGTCCAATTATGGGCATTCATCAGGCAGTTGTGACAATGTGATTATAGGTAAATTAACAAAATATGAAAAAGAAAGCAAACAGCTACATGAGCATGGATCATGTGTTCACCAAGGTCATGTCTGCATGCAGTGTACATTGGTCATCTGACAAGACCCAGTCTAGCCACAGCCATGTACACCACCAGAAGCAGCGAACCATGACCCAACCTGTTACATTTTACTGACATACTCAAGTGCATACTCAAGTGCATTTGAGCTTCAGTGAAGAGCTAGCACTGAGCCTGAGTAGCCAGTGCTACGTACTGTACTGTACATTACCTACCCCTCGGTCAGGATATGGGTTGTACTCCACCATCTCACTCAAGTGCTAGTGCAGTGCACTACAGTCTACATGGGGGTGACTGCAGCCGGCCAAATTACCCTTGGAGTGCTCCAAGAAAAGAACGCTATCAAGGAGCTGACAAGTAAGTTTCATTGATGTGTCAAATATGATTTTTTTTCTAAGTTCGATTTTTTTAAGTTGGTTCAAATTATCACCGCCGGCATTTGGGGTTGCTGCTGCTTCACTTCGGACTGCTGTTTGGTGTCGAGATGTCTTTTCAGCGCCGTCGTCGAGTAGCCTTTGTAAGGCCTCGTTTACACGACAACGATTGAAAAACGTTTTCAAAAGAATACGCTTCTACAGATTTTGATAAGAGCGTTTACACGACAACGCTGAAAAATGTTTCTAAAACGTTTCAAACGAAAACCGGCCTTCAAAGTGTTTTTCAATCGTTTTCGTTCCGTTTCGTTCTCGTGTAAACGGCAAAAACGTTTTACTAGTACGAGCCCTGTACTCAAAAGATGCCGCCGCCAGCCTGCGCCAGGCCAAATTCTTGCACGTGACGATTGCGCGCCGAAAAACGTGTTGCAGTGTACACAATTATCGTTTTCATGTAAACAGCAAAAACATTTCGAAAACGATTGAAAAACGTTTTTCAATCGTTGTCGTGTAAATGAGGCCTAAGAATAGACCGTTTTGCAAAGATTGCAAGTAGCCCTGGTCTTCGCTGCATCGCGGGAGAAAACTTCCAAACGACTGAGCCGCTATTTTACTTTCACTCGAATGGAGAGGTGACCGAAGCATATCCTGCGACAGGTCAGCAGATGCGGAACAAGACATCAGTAGAGTCCACCAAAGCTGCAACGACAACTGAAACAACTCAAGTGTCGTGCAGGCATACAGTCACTGAAACTGCGAGTGACTTTCACTTTGCGCGGGACTGGACTCTCGATCGACCAGGGAATCGTAAAATATTTTACGACTCCCCGGTCGACATGTATTGCCATGTGTACGGAGTACGGTGTATGGTGTTCGTTAGTGCAAACGAGCTGGCCGCACAAACGAGCCGAGTTTCTGGCGAGCGAGCTAACGAGTATCCGGTGAGATCGTTTCAACACTAGTTTTTGTTTCTCACGCATAACACGAGTTGACACCACATGATGAGAAAAACAGATTAAAAACAAGTTATCGCTTGCGCATTGCAATATTTTGTTGTGTCCATTTGTTGTTGTCGACGTCGCAGTAGTAGTACATTTGAAGTAGCGGTACAGTCTACTCGCGATAAGTCACGCACAGTGTCCTGGAATAGAAAATGCGCGACTTACCGCGAGTGCGCGACTTACATTATGCACCGCGTCATGCATATGTACAGCCGTCATTTTTTCTTCTGCATATGGACATGTGTGCTGAACACGCGTACAAGCACTGAGCTGCATGCGCACGGTACACTGTCTGTAGTACTACTCCCTGGTCTACACTGACTGTACACTGCTGTACACGAGACGTAGATCTACCACAGCGTGAAGCCATGATCGATATGAAGGCATGATCGAGAAAGACAAGTAGCGACGTTCCGTTACTTTTGCCGTTTTGGTAGGGATTTGACAAGACGCACTTCTGTTTCCGTCGTTTCCCTTTGCTTGACGATGCCTTCTCATAAGAAAACGAAAGAACAGCGAACAGTGGCTGATCGACTGCGTTTGGTTCGTCTCTATCGTGAGAGTGGAAAAACCTCCGCTCGAAAATTTGCGAAGTTGAACAATGTTCCGGGGGCGATGTTCCGCGGCTGGCTGAGGGATGCTGAAGCTGGCAAACTCGCCGATGCTAATCCGCCTGGTCCACAGGGAGTCCGCAACAGAAGTTCCCAGTTCGGGAAAATTGAGGAGCGGCTATTGAAGTATATTTTGCTTCGAAGGGTTTGTGACTGGCAAACTTGGATTCTCGTGGGTGAAGGCTCTCATACAATATGCACATAATTATATTCTTACCTTTACAGTATTCAAGCTCCATCATTGAAAACCACATCATTCGCAAATATTCACGAAATCCACGAAATCCCGAAAAATAAAAAATTCTTGAGATGGGTGTCCTGGATGAAAAAGTGCGTGACTTACCGCGAGTGCGTGACTTACCGCGAGTGCGTGACTTAAAAGTGCGTGACTTATCGCGAGTAGACTGTATATAGGCAGCGTTTTCTTCAAGGTGCTTTTCCTCCATTGTGTGGGTGTGTGTTTAGGGTTGAGGCGATCTTTTCCCAGCATGCTGTTACACCTGATGAGCAATCTGACAGCCACCCACAACAACCCGAGCAGCAGCAGCAGCAACAGCAGCAGCAGCAGCTAGCATCATCACAACGCACTTTCCCCAGTACTGGCTGGACTAGCCTGGAGGACATTTGTGCGTCATCGTCAGTTGGCATGTTGTTGTTAATGCCCTACGTTATGCAATATTTGATTGCTCGTAAAGCAGTTGATGGCCTGGACAGTGCTGACTTCCGGAGTCTTAGCGAACAGTCCGACGGACTGTGCAAAAGAGCCTACGCTCGGAATGGTGCCATAGCAGTCATTCCATGCGCAGAAGAACTATTGTTCAAGTGTAATGTTCGTGCTACTATGAAGACTGGGGTGCGCTACGCTGTCAAGATGGTGTTGAAGAAAGAGTCCAGCCAGTCCTTCAACACCATCGTGTACACTGAGTGTGGGTGCCCGGCCGGTGCGGCCCCGAATTCTACTTGCAAGCACATCGCTGCTGTGTGCTATGGCCTGGACGAGTTTTCCCGCTTTGGTTCATTTACAGGTTGCACCAGCTCCACCAGTGAGCTGTGCAAATGGAATGCACCGCCAAGCAAGCGGCTTGTGAGCCAGATGGACTTCACGGCACCCCAACCCGAGAGTGAGCGCACGCGACCCACCGCAGGGAAGAAGCACAGGCTACTCCATGACCCTCGGCCATCTGACATGCAGGACCCGGATTCCACTGTAGAGTCGCGGAAGCTGTTTGGTATTGTAGGCAGCAATACCCGTCCTGCGGCCGCACGCCCAGCGCTTCTCGACTTATTGTCGCCGGTAACGTCAACGGTTTCTTCAATACGGAGTAGCGCTGTTCAGCCCACACGCACCAGTACTACAGTATACACAGTGAGGGAGCTAGCTGACCTTGTACATGCATCTGAAGCATTCAAGGGCAGCAACAAGGATCAGTGCTCCATCTTGAAACTATGTGACCGCTTCCGGACACTGCTGGCACTGTCCCCACAGCAGATACATGCACTGGAGTACCGCACACGTGGGCAGGCATCCAATGCACTGTGGATGGAGCATCGCTTTGGCAGGCTGACTGCCTCGATATTTTCAAGCGTTGTTAAGCGTAAGGGCCCCTTCGGACCACTAGTGATTCAAATGCTGAACCGCAAGCCCTTTCACTCTCCTGCCGCAGACTGGGGTAGGCAGAATGAGGCCATTGCGCAAAAAGACTATGTAAAGAAGTGCAGTGTTCTCGTGGCACAGCGTGGCCTAATGGTCATGGCCAATGGCTTCACTGGTGCCAGCCCTGATGGGTTGGTGAATGATAGTAGCTTGCCCGCTGCTCAACAACAAGGTCTGCTGGAGATAAAGTGTCCATATTCAGCTCGGCATATCACCCCAGCAGATGCATGTGAGGTGCTGGACAACTTCTTCTGCAAATTGGATGATGACGGCACATTCTCACTGAAGCGAAATCACAACTTCTACTTTCAGGTTAGTGTGAAGTGATTACTTAGAATAATAATAATTATTATGTTATATAGAGGTTATGCGAAAGGATCACGTGAAGGCGGGCAAAGCGGCCGCGCTCCGCAGGGGTGGCAAAAGAGATGAAAAGTTCAAAAGAAGTACATGTGCCTGGAATAATTTCACGAAGAAAATTTCCTGTATCGCTGTTACGTTCCTCTTCTGTTCTTTACAAAGGACTATTGTACGAAGGCTGAATCAGTGACCATGACTTCTGGACAGAAGAATTGTTCGTGGTGGATCGAGTTCTACCCGCATCCCCAATCACCTATGGAGTTAATGATCTCAGGATTCTCCATGTCTCTTAAGGGGGGGGGGGGGGCATGCACACAGTATGAAGGATACGGTACACTGTATCCTACTATCAATGTCTCTACAGAGTATCGTTATTGTTCCAAGCCACTTATACGGGCAAAGCACACTATCACTAGCAATAAAGCTCCAGACATGCACGCAACCACACAGAGTTTCAGCAGCATCACCTTAATGCATGTAGCAATGATGATCGCCAACTTGATGAAGGCCAAGGTGATTAGGATGCATCCTGTGGTGCATCGTCTGTGCCCAATATCACACCGCCTTCTGCAATTTGTACAACTAAGTTCAGGCATGCAAGGCACCTCAACGGATGATTCCGACATGGGGCTTGCTGCTGCTGCTGCCAGTGATGGAGATGGCAGACATGGCAGGAGGGGTGGCGATGAGGTGATAGAGGGTGGTGTTGGCGAGTGTGGAGATGGTGAGACGGGAGAGCGTCGTGGTGATGATCGCCAACTTGATGAAGGCCAAGGTGATTAGGATGCATCCTGTGGTGCATCGTCTGTGCCCAAGATCACACCGCCTTCTGCAATTCGTACAACTAAGTTCAGGCATGCAAGGCACCTCAACGGATGATTCCGGCATGGGGCTTGCTGCTGCTGCTCCCAGTGATGGAGGCGGCGAACATGGCAGGAGGGGTGGCGATGAGCCACTTATACGGGCAAAGTACGCTATCACTAGCAATAAAGCTCCACACATGCACGCACCCACACAGAGTTACAGCAGCATCACCTTAATGCATGTAGCAATGATGATCGCCAACTTGATGAATGCCAAGGTGATCAAGATACATCCTGTGGTGCATTGTCTGTGCCCAAGATCACACCGCCTTCTGCAATTCGTACAACTAAGTTCAGGCATGCAGGGCACCTCAACGGATGATTCCGACATGGGGCTTGCTGCTGCTGCTGCCAGTGATGGAGATGGCAGACATGGCAGGAGGGGTGGCGATGAGGTGATAGAGGGTGGTGTTGGCGAGTGTGGAGATGGTGAGACGGGAGAGCGTCGTGGTGATGATCGCCAACTTGATGATGGCCAAGGTGATTATGATGCATCCTGTGGTGCATCGTCTGTGCCCAAGATCACACCGCCTTCTGCAATTCGTACAACTAAGTTCAGGTATGCACGGCACCTCAACGGATGATTCCGGCATGGGGCTTGCTGCTGCTGCTCCCAGTGATGGAGGTGGACATGGCAGGAGGGGTGGCGATGAGCCACATATACGGGCAAAGCACGCTATCACTAGCAATAAAGCTCCACACATGCACGCACCCACACAGAGTTACAGCAGCATCACCTTAATGCATGTAGCAATGATGATCGCCAACTTGATGAAGGCCAAGGTGATTAGAATGCATCCTGTGGTGCATCGTCTGTGCCCAAGATCACACCGCCTTCTGCAATTTGTACAACTAAGTTCAGGCATGCAAGGCACCTCAACGGATGATTCCGACATGGGGCTTGCTGCTGCTGCTGCCAGTGATGGAGGTGGCGGACATGGCAGGAGGGGTGGCGATGAGGTGATAGAGGGTGGTGTTGGCGAGTGTGGAGATGGTGAGACGGAAGAGCGTCTTGGTGGTGGTGTTGGTGGTCGGGCACGTCTTGGTAGTGATGGTGACCATGGCGACGACGGTGCCGGTGTGATGAGTCGGGGGTTGCATTAACGTAGCCAACTGATCTGCGTTCGGAATTCGGTGTGGATGGTGACGTAGGTTGTGTTGCTGACAGCAGAGAGCCTCCTTATCCGAAACTGAACCACCAAACAGGGGCGATACATACGAAATAGCACCACCTGGTGTAATACCTGGCAAACAAAGGAGAGGTGGGACAAAAAAACATGAATCAGGATACTGAAGTTGAAATGCACCGATCACGCTGTCTCGCACATCATATCACACATCATATCAAAGTACATGTGCTCTACTCGTAAGGGAAAAGAACACCTGGAAATACATGTATACGACTTTACTCTGCCAACAACGAGGTAATAGTGAGGCAAGCAACTCAACAAATGTACATACCTACAAGAGCCTTGAATGTGTTCCGGTTCTTATAGGAGGACCATGCCACTCGCTGGGAGTCGGGGTCGGATGGCTTCTCAACTTCGAACTCAGTACAGTCGATAATGCAACGGGTGGACGGGTAGCGATCTTTAAAGTGCTCCGGCATTGTGGCATCCACTTGCTACCGGCTAGGCCACCAGTTCACCGCACGGAGTTTCTTATCAAGAAATAATATCCATGTCGTCACTGTCCGTGAGACTGTAGAGATGTCACTATTGAACCGCTGCGTCAAATCTGCATATGGGGGGTCCTGCCTCAGCTTCATCAATGTCATCAGAAGCTCATCCTTTGCCGATAGTGCACGGCGATGCTTGCGTGTACTGCCACGTCATGTTTTTGCCCCATGCCAGTGAACAAGGCCATCGACACAATCCTCAACAAAAGAGTGCAGCTCACAGAATGACAACGCATCAGGAAGTCCAGTGTAGAAGCGAACCAGTGAGTCGTCATGCTCAATGAGTTCGTATGTAAGAGCATTGCTCTTGCGCAGCTGCGCGCATTCTGTGACTCTAACTGGTCTACACGCGCCTCCATTGCTAAGAGTTTCTTGCGGAGGTTGTCGATCGTTTCTCCAGGATCCTCCTCTCCACGATCCTCCACAGCTGGAGATAGTGGGTCTATCTCGTCAGAAACATCCGCAGGCACAGGTTGCTTGCGCTTTTTCGGCGACAGGGCAAGACGCACACTAGGTGCCTTGCGCTTGGACTACGCCTTCCGAAAGGAGAACACAGAAGGAATATCGGTCTTTCCCTTGCGCTTGCCTCCCTCGAAGTGAACACTGCACACACGGGTGTGCACATTCACGCGAAGAGAATCTGTCTTCAGGGTTCTAGCCAGGTCAAAATAGTAGGGGGGGGGGGGGGGGGGGGGCATGGGATAAAGTTACCCCATGACCCATTTTTTCCATTGTCCAAAATTGTCTTGCCATGCAAAATGCAACATACGGGATGAACCCCGACTTCACCCCTCCCTAATGTGCCTTATGAACCCTCTAGTAGTAACTATCAACTGTATTTTCGTTGAATGGCGTGAAAAAACACAAAAATCGGAAAATGAGTAGGGGGCGGCACTTTTTCACAGGGGGGCGCGCAAACGGAGTAGGGGGGCGCTGCGCCCCCCAACCCCCGCCACCCCCTTTGGCTAGAACCCTGGTCTTCATGGCAGCAAGCCATTTCTGCAGCAAGGGCTTATTTTTGAGAGGCAAGCGATAAAACGAAATGCCTTCGCTGCTTTTCCTGCCGGCTTTGTGATTTTGTGATGGCAACCAAACACAGCACAGGTTTTCATGGCCGAACACAGACAGGGACATTGGAACTCAGAAACTGCACTGGATGGAAAAGGAAACAACTGCCAACAACAAAAACTGAAAACTTCAAACCAAACAATTCACGAAAAAATCCATGTGGGTGTTCAGCGCGAGCAGCGAGGCCACCCAAAAAGCCACTTGAACCAATGACGTCATTGTCGATTACTCGAGTTTTTTTGTGAAGAGGCAAAAAAGTAGAAAAAAAACTGCCCTATTTTTCTAATTATTTCGTTGGCTCGAGTCGAGAAGTAGACGAATTGCAGCTGCCAGAAGGTGCGCACGGACACGAGGCAGCCATTATGATATAAACCTCAGTAACGTACATACAGCGGAGATTGGATATAACGACACTCCTTCGGGAGAAAACAAAACGTCGCTACATTCGATCTCTCACTGAACCCGATCTTCACATTACATTTGTAGTGCTATTTACGTACATATCAAAATGACAGAAATGTATTGCAGATACGCATGTGCATACTAGAATGCCGATTGCATAATGGATTCCAGATGTGTACTTCAAGTACATTGTACATGTATGTGCATGTATCTTGCATGCGTACAAGTAGATCGAGCCAAAAGTCATGCATAGCAACTACACCGCTGCACTGCGGCTACAATGATTTTATGACTATTATGTGCAATGACCAGCACGCGTGGAGTGGCTCAGAGGTCCGCAAATGTCACACAGACATGTCCCATGCATGCCACTCCGCCTGGTACTAGAGCAAAGTCGTTATAATTATTTGAGGCATTTTCAGTAGGGGTGAAACGGTTCCATGTTTTTCATGTTCGGGTACCCGAATGCCAGCATTGTTTCCCACGGTTAGGGTATCGGTTCCATGGACTCTTTTGTCCAGACCGACAAAATGCGTTCGCGACAATTGTTTTTTAGAAAAAACATTTTTACGAGCAAGAATGAGACATCGGAGAGTCCAAGTGTGAAGAAGATAATGACAAGAGAACTCTTTGGAAGAGTGGGGATCGTAAGGTAAGTAGGCCTAAAGGTAAGACATTAAAATCTTGAGTAGACTTGACGTTTACATGTATTTGTACAAGAACAAGATTTTTCGAGTTTCGGTTCGAAATTTGACGGAACGGGTACCCGATTCTTTTCAGCTGGCGGTTCCAAAAACAGTTCCTTACCCGAACCGTTTCACCCCTAATTTTCAGGTCTTCGGGCACCAAAAAAGTGTCAGTAAATTCGAGCTGTCGTTATTTTAGAGGTCGTTATACCCGATCTATAATGTACAGAAACTGAAAGGACTTGCTAAACGACTTGGGCAAACAGAATTTTGTCGCTTAACTCGATCTGTCGTTCTATAGAAGGTCGTTATATCCCATCTCCACTGTAACTGTCTGCCCTGTGATAGTAATAATTTGAGCATTCCAGCGCGGCTAAGCCGATGGCTGTGAATGAATTTATATCATTTCGATAATTTTTATACATACCAAAGGCCAAGAGCCAGGAGTCGTACAAACCCATCAAAACTCAGGGTCTGTGTGATCCCTGGTCAAGAGGGTGGGCACTGTTGCGTACATTTCCAACCGGGTCGAGCGCTCGTCTGCAGCACAGTACTGTATCACCGAGTCATACGAGGGTACAATCACTATCAACCACTTCCCTGACAAAAAGTCAGGGAGTGGCGCATGGGAGAGACGGGGCGCTCTGGCTGGATTTTACGTTATTTTATTGTTGTCATCTGGAAAACTAGCCCAGCAGCCACTAAAAATATACAAAGTGATAAAACTTGTTCAGTTCTGGTGTCTGAACTATTGTAGTGCATTTGTGAACCGTTCTAAAATACCTCAGCACTTGTGTGTGTGTGTCACTGTGTGTGTGTGTGTGTATATGTGTGTGTGTGTGCGTGCGGGCGGGTGCGTGCGGGTGTGTGTGTGTGCGTGCGCGTGTGTGTGTGTGTGTGTGTGTGTGTGTGTGTGTGTGTGTGTGTGTGTGTACATGGTGTTTCCGCAGGCTTGTCGAGGACTCCAGGATAGACAACATGTGCTGCTCCAGTTGTTCACCGCCTTGCTCCTGCACGAAGTCCTTCAGGCTGTCAGTGCCATCGGTTTGGGAAAGGTGAGCAAAAGCTTCACCCTTTACTTCCTTAAAAAATGCACTTCTCGTCGTTGTCTGTGATTGCCATGTTGCTCAGGCTTAGTTGATGCGGGTCGTACCAGTCCTTAACACCATCCTGAATGCTTGTGTCCTGAGTGGGCAGATTCTCTGAATTATGGCACGTCACTTGTGCTGTGTACTGTACGGAAGTATGCGCCTCGTCTCACTTTCTTGCTGTTGTACGGTAACTTCAGGGTTGACGCAGGAGTCAATGATTACTCACCATTCTGTAGTCTGTGGGCGCTAGGTGTCTCTCGTTGTGTTCGTATCCGTGCGCACCGTGCAAGGTGGCTCTTGGATGCTGTCCATCGACTCAAAGCATGTGAAAGGAAGTACTTTGCTTGGCTCAACTTCGGGCTGTTCGGTGTGCATGGCAGCTCTAGGTCGTGGGTTAATTTGCTGTACCGATGTGCCGTGGAATCCCCGCTCGGCATCATTGCAATACATGCGTTTCCACTTCATATCCTTATCGATGTTGTCAATCGTCAATGTTGTCAATCGATGCACCGCGAAAGCTGCTGAGCATCAGCTCATTCTGAATACCACGCTCCTGCCTCTGCTTGATGATGGTCATCTTGTAGCGAGCATAGGTGTCCCTTCCCGCTGTAATGCCGAACCGTGACAGTGTGGCGAGAAGGGTCGTCGAGTGACCGTATGTCTCCACTACATCTGCCAACACCAGCTGCTGTGGAAACACACACTGTGGCTTCGCAGCATGCAGCATTGAGGTCCAGACGTGTATCGCTCCGAGACGTGGCATTGCTGTTGGGATGTGTGTCGCTTCACCATAAAGTGCCACCCAAATCCAAGACCACAGATGTGGATTTATTTATTTTTTATTTATTTACAAAATAGCCACAAACCATCATGGTGCAAACACCACCAAAAACGCACAGGGATACACATAGCGATGGCAGCCGAAGCAGTGGAAGCAGGGCAAGAGCAGCTCAACCGACCAAGGGTCTCGGTTTCAGCACTGCTCATGCGCGCCAAACAGAAAAAAATACGAAGTGAGAAAAAAATGTACTGACTGTGTGACCTTGTTGAAGTTTAGTTCGTTTCTGGCTGTGCCGTCCTCAAACTCCTTTCCGATAATGTGACCAGCCTGTGTCCTGATCATCATGTGCACCTGCCCGGCCATTGCCGAAACTCCATTTTCCGATTCTGTCCTGTGGTTTTTACAACAGGCATGTCTGTGGCAAGCTTGTCGTGTGACATTGCAGTGCAGCCCTGGGCGGAAAAGGCATCATGTAAGGCCTGTTGCGTGTTGCATCCTCTGCGGAGGAACGTGATGCCACATTGTTTTCACGTTGGGGTATACGACCGCAGCGTGTTCTGCTAGCACTTCCACTATCTGGCCGAGAAGCCATTTTGCCTGCTAGTGTGTGTCAGTGGCAGCGTGGCGCATGAAATGGTCGTGGAGTGTGACCAGTAAAACTGCACTCTTTGAGAGCAGTTGCTCTCCAGCGAGCACGAGTGCTGCTGCTAAAGCCGTGTGTATGTCCCGCTGTGCTAGGGTAATGGCGTTTGGCTGGTGGTCTGTACTTGCGTAGCTGTCTACTGTAACCAAGGCCAGGTACACCTTGTAGCACTTGGTACAGTAGGGTGTGTCCTCCGAAACAGTGATGCCGCCATCCTTCAGCTTTGCTACCACGACCTTGTAATTTGCAGCCTTTCGCAATGGCTCAAGCTCCATTGGCGCATGGCATTTGCCACAGTGCTGCTTACGGCCGCTGGTCAGCTGGCTATAGTATAGCGCTTGGAGGACACCACTGTATCCTTCATATCCTGCCCATCCTGCAATGGCATCGAGTCAGCTTGTGGGGGTGGATCGTGTGTAGTAGTAATTGCATTGGCATCGCAATCAGCCATGGAGCATTGTCGATGCCGGACAAATGGTGTGTTCACATTGCTGCTGCTGGTGCTGCTGCTGCTGCTGTTGGTGCTGCTGCTGCTGCTGCTGTTGTTGGTGCTGCTGCTGCTGTTGGTGCTGCTGCTGTTGCTGCTGCTGTTGGTGCTGCTGCGTGTAAGGGATTTCTTGCAAGGGCCAGCTAATACATGCATGACCCTGCACGTCCCGTGCAGGGGCTTAGGCAGGGGGGGGGGGGTGCTTTGGGTGCCAAAGCACCTCCCTCGAAAACTTCGATCGTGGTTCGCAGCTGGTTCGAGAGAGACCGTAAAACGCGGACCGCTGATCACTTGTGCAACTCTGCACAATGGCGCACACAGTAGAAAAAAACCTTGTTCAGACTAGGAAGTACAGTAGTAGGGTTTGTACTACTGCAGGTGACTATTTTCAACTTTTTGTCTGATCATTGGCCATTTTGCAATGAAACTTCTAGTCGAGGTTTCGAGCTGATTTTCATCGAGTGGATTAAGTCTCTCCAATCTCCCGCTCAGCGGCAAATGTCCATGGTAACCACGGACTTTTTTCAAAATTTCCCTCAGTGTGACCGGCCCCTAAGCTCATCATTAGTTGGAAACAGGGAGTAATAAATATTACTACTACCTGGTTGGAGGTTTGCCATTCACTGATTGATTTTCAGCGTCAAATATGGGGCTAATTTTGTTCCCCCCCCCCCCCTCCCCACGCCGTATCGCGGATCAAACACTTCAGTGCATGTACCGTAAAGTACCGCCAGAGCGCCCCACCATCTCGTCCTTTCGTGGCCGCCTTGTGGAGGTGGATTCCTGTCTGCAGGTCATACGACACGGACCTTGTACAAACATTGCACATTGTGCAGTCAATCCGTTCCCAGTTTACCTTCGAGCTCCACATAAAAGCATACCAAGTGTGACCTTAGTACACGAAGGTTCTCACATCGTACATTCTGCCATACGATTTTCTTCCCTTGGCTGTAAAATCAATGTGGGGCGCTCTCGCGAGACGGGGCGCTCTGGCGGTACTTTACGGTACATGTACTTTTGTGTGGGGAAAGTCGTGGAACCCCCCCCTGTTCACTATCCTGGCTATGCACCTGCTGTGCATGCGGGTACCTGTCGGTTGCCCATGGTGCAAAGATTATTTGTTGCCAGTTGCTGATTGACGTGTTGTGGGTGTACTTCCCGTCAAGTGCATTCGCTCCATGATGCCACAGGGACCACATGAACGCTCGGGGTGGAGGTCTGCACCATGGCTGCGCCTGCCAGGCATAGTGTTTCAAGTCTAAAACACGCGAGAAGAAAAAAAAACAGGCTACATGTGCTCCCTCATTATAACGAGTCCGGTTAGTACATAAACCCCGTTAGTAAATAGAAATCTGAAATCCCCTGGCGAAACGTGGTCTATACAACTGTTTACAGGTCCGGTTACAAAATAATCCGTTAGTACATAAAATCCGTTATAACGACCCTTTGCCCAGGTCCCTGGAATGCCAAACCCTCAGTATAAGATAATTTTGACCATGCAGGACCAAGGACAAAACACGTAGGATAAAGCAGAAAGAGGAGACGTATTATGTCTATGCATTCGTGAATATGGACGATCCTTTGCATCCAAGGAAGAGTTATGTTGGAGATGTTCAATTATCTTATAACGAGTTGAAGCATCGATAATTTATGTTGTATCGAGGGTAGCCCCGGTAAGTACGAAGTAGTGCCTATTTCACCTTTAGCTGCAAGTCCTGCTACAAGATAAGTCTCGTTATAAGATAACTTTTTCGATGGCCCAGAGATTCTCTACTAACGAGGGAGGACCTGTATATGAAATTGGCTGTCCTGAAAGTATGGTAGCGCGGACACGAATGAACTCCGGATGTGAGGAGAGGAAGACTTACTGCGCCCCAGGCTGTTTTAAGTATGTCACAGTGAAGCCGCGGCTAAGGTCTTGGCAGTAAATGAATCTTTTGAAAACAAGAATCTCGTTGAAATGGCAGTCTGGAGAAGTAAGCGGAAACAAAGGATTGTCATGAGCGCTGGGCAAACTTTGAACCGCAATGCAGGGAAGAAATATACCCCATACGGATAAGTTTCGGCAAAGGCTGATGCGATACGAAGGAATACAATGGACGTCAAGGTATGCCTTTCACACGATCTTCTCTCTCAACACTCAAATTTCGTGCAGCGCGGAAAATAAAAGTCACGGATAAATAAAGTTTTTTTTTAAACCTGGTGATCGGACTGTGCAAGTGGATTTCATTGCACTTCTCAGTTTGGGAAATGCTCTAAGGCCAAGTAAAAAATTGATTGTTTATCGTCCGCGCCCGCCCCAAATTTTCACCCTCCCCGCCGAATTATTTTATTTTTTAATACTGGTAAATGTACTGTATGTACTGCGGTCTACAGCCTCTAATCAGCATGGCCGTAGATTTTCGAAGGTCAAGTCCACAGACTGAACCATAACTTAGTTGCCATGGGCTTGAAAAGTGAAACTGATCATAAGCTGCCTGATTTTCTTCGTTTTTTCTACGTAACGACTTGGTTACGTTGGTTGTTCCACTTCCCATTATCCTCTGGGGTTGCGAACACCTGCCCTACAGCCATAAATGCATAATAAAAAATAAAATGAAAAACCTCCCGTCCGCCCCGATTTCTCGGGAAAATCTGACGATAAACAATCAATATGTTTTTCATGGCCTAATAATGATAATTGTATGTGTATGTGTGCACTAGCCCTACACATACAAGCATGTACGTGACCCGTGTGTGGTGTCCCATAGCCTACCTCACCACCTTCTGCTTTCTTTCTGCATCACTTGTATCTTGCAGGTGTATCATCCCGTGACGACCACATTGAAGTCTGAATTTGAAGTGTGGAGATGCTGCAGCAACCACTTCGTACTTTTCCATTGCTTCTATTGTGCTTCTACTGTGCATGTGTGTAACTTGTGGGATATGCATGTGTGATACTTGTGGGATATGCATGAGATGAGATGGTACGCCGCAGATGTTATCCATGCGTGTAACGTATACCTACATGTTACTCATTGAAAAGGATTAGCCACTTGTGATCCTCGGATGAGTATCCGGTCAGCTTTGTCTTGTGTGGGCCGTACCAGCTTGCTGTTCACTTCTCTATCTGTTGGATATGCGACTTTCTGCAAGTTTCTGGTTTCTGGTGCCACGTCTTTGCTTGCCTCTTTTTTTTTAAGGAATTACATTCTGTTTTCACTGCGTGCATAGCGTGGTCTGCAAATTGCAATCCGTCATGTTTGCAATGCTGTGCTTTGGCCGTCAGCTTGCCTACACATTTTTGTTTGTTTCACAACTGACTTCGTAAAGTATGGTGGGCAATGCTTTGCATGGCATTATACATGAAGAATCTCCTGTTTGGGTCGTGTGCATGTGTGTGTGTGTGTGCGTCCCCACGTGCGTGTGCCGTGTAGACGTGCGTGTTTGTTACAGTGTGTCTGTGTGCGGGGTAGCAAGGTGGGGAGGGCTGGTATGTATCAGTGTGTTATTGCAGTCTCATGGCTGCATGTGCAGCCACAGTTTTTCTTTATGCTATCTCAAGCACTTACGGTTTTCTTCATTCAGCTCTATTTCACGCACTTATGTACCTCGGGGGACCTCGGTTTTTATAATAGTTTTTATTGGTCATAAACCCTCGGCCTCCTCATGTATTGTATTTAGAATCAACCACTAAAAACTCCTACTCAATCTCCAACAACAAAATTAGTGGACAGCTGTTATTTGTGTTTCTATGACAACTCGTGTCCTGGACGAGTATTTGTTGTCATTGGTTTAATTTCTTTTACTCTTCATAGGCTATCAGATCATTTTCCTTATTCGGTCTATTTATAACCAGTATCTATATGAGAGTGTGGTCTGTCTCCATGGTTACCGGTGTTCTTTTCATAAGTAAGGAGGTTTAGTCCCACGTAATCCGTGGGTACTTTACGTGTGTGTACCACGTGATACTCAGTGACCCAAGTGCAGACGTTTTCTGATTCACGACACACCGTGTATGGAGGCTCACCCACGTTCCGCCAGAACGTGGGTGAAAATCAGAATGGAGCGCGTTGTGCGAGCTGTGAGGGTGCTCAGCTGAAGAAGTTTCCGAAGCACGAAATCAAAATATTGGATGAGCTTCTTAGGCCCTGGTAGCTTCGTCTTTGACCAGATTTGGGCCTTTCGCTTCATGCTTTTGTTTGTTCCGTGTGACTAAGCACAACGTTGGTACGTGGATGCCCTTCATCCACTTTACGTGGATCACCCACGTCAAGAGTACATAAGTACATTATGTACTCTTGCCCACGTACGCGTTTCCGTTACGTGGGAACTGAACCTCCCTACTATAGCCACTTCTCCTTGTTAGACCTAATCTGGAAGGCCCATTCTTGCATATTCCAACAGCAGCCAAGGGAGCTAGCTCTCTTGGTTATGCGGACTGGGTCCGATCCTAAAAAGCTGTTTTTATAAACGTTTTTATAAACTGTTTTTATTGGATAGGATAATATTATGATTATGTTGAATAAACGAGGTTTGTGTAAATTGGAGATTGACTTGGAGTTTTTACGAGTTGATTCTAAATATTGGTTGTGAGCAACACTGGCTCACACTCAAATCACTGCTTTTCACCAGAAAAATATTTTATTTCAACGTTTCGGTCATGACCATCATCAGGAATGAAGTGGGCACACCGGTTAATATTAGTAGGGTGTTCGGACGATTTTGAAAGTTGCTCCGATCTCCTCGATTTTACTCTCATTGGAAAGAGTAGGATAAACTAGCCGGGAAATATATGAGGTTTGTCTAAATCCGACCAGACGGTCAAGAGTTATGATCGTTTGAAGTGCGCTTGTTGGCACTTTTTCTGGAACAGTTTTGATGCAGGCCAGTGGCACAAAACCGGGAAATTCAAAACCAACTAGAACAAGGTGAAAATCAATTTCGTTCAGGGTCTTTCAAATTTCCACAGATGATAGCCAATAGAGAGCTTCCATCACTTGACCAATTTTTTTGGTATTCCAATTAGCCAAATTCAAATTACGCCCATAGCAACCACCATAGCAACGCGTACAAATTAGTCGAAATAAATGCGAAAGATGTAACCCTTCACAGGCTGAAGCTAATTGGAATACGGGTACTACAAAGACACATCACCAGGAGGAGATTACAGTTATCTACCCCATGTAGATGAAGCATCCAAGAAAATAGCATACGCACTCAGCCGAGACGGCACCCGCACCCGGGCATGTTGCGCCGCGGGACCGGATGCATGCAGCCAATTAACAGGTTTGCTGCACCATTGCAACACGATGTAAGCTTCAGCCAGGCCAAGGCAGCAGCAGTCCTACTAATCATCAGCTTTAGAAGGACAACTTGTTCCCCGTCATATACGGCGCGTGCAGCACTTCGGGGCAATTGGTGTCGCACGTCACATGTAATTCATTCATACGATTTGCACAATCAACAGACAGTTCATTTATCGGATGATTGTGCAAGCGTAATTTGGATGTAAATTATAAAGAAAAAAATACACTGGTCCTACATTGCCCATGCTATGTGGATGACAATGTACTCCAGACACGGTGCATACGGCATTGCGTAGCTGCACTGCATTAGCGCGCTGCAATTTTTGCAAATCCTCAGAGTGTCAATTCTGTGCAGATTTTCAGCTGCATATTGAACGCAGTATTGGCAGGAAATCTGCTCTTGACCAATTTGTCTGCACAATGGCTTTCTCCACTCTCCAGATACAGCGACCAGAGGTTTATCTGATGCGGTAGCTCAGCGAAACTACAAATAAACAACACTACAGCCAAGTCCATCAACTCCATGTACATGACACGTACATGTACTCCATACATTTGGTATCCTGGCGCAAATCGATCGCTCATAGAACAAGAAGACAGCATCGTACAGCCTCCAAATTTCACACACTAGGGAGGTTCTGCTCTACGTTTTGGGAACGCGACGCAAAGAATCACGCGAACTTTCTTCGCGTTCCCGTAACGTAAAGAAGTCCTGTTCTGCTCTACGTTTCACCTAGAGAAGTCACGTGGAATGTGTACTGAGATTTTCCCCTTCCATATTTGGCAGTTTTCTGCATGCAGTGATCGATACCCAGCAAATCCGTACGCATTTTCTCTGCGTGTGCCACAACGTAGAGAACCTCATCTCCGCGTAGAAATCTGGAGCCAAAACACGCGAAGCCGTAGACTCTAACCCAGACACCTGCTCTCTACTTGATTTCTCTACGTTTCACGTATAGCAGAACCTCCCTACTGCGTAGTTTTTCGACGCTGAAGACGATGGAATAGTCGCCGGCGTTGCGACCGGCCCAGAACAGGCCGAAATCGATACCCTGAAGTTGCGCAGGGCGTAACATTGCTAAAATTCGTCGTGTGGAAACGGGACTTACGGTCTCAACAGCAGAGACATCTCCTCTTTCCAACAAAGAAACAAACTCGTCCTGAGCTGCTAAAATTTTACCTTGCCAAGGCAAGAAGCACAGTGATGTACGATTGTGCCACGGACCCCGTACAAAACTGTTTCCACTCAAAATGCGCCTGGGTTCGAGGCACCGAACACCCTAATATTAGGATGGGTTAATAAATGAGGAGCGCTGCGAACTGATAACAAATCACACTTAAATGCACTATTACGAACAAACTTATATGCGTTTCACACTCACGTCTTTATTCGCGTCTTCGTCTTCGTTGCCTAGGCGATCCCGGGAAATCCCCAAAACGTGAGCTGAAGACTTCAAAATGCAGACGCGGCCCTACGGGCAGAGTCTTCGGCCACGTCTTCGTCTTTTTTGTCGTCTTGAGCTCTTGTCTGGCCTATCTGCATGCGCAGAGATCTTGGCGGGGAAATTAAAAGTGAGCATGCAACCTGCTAGTTGCACATGTCAAAGAATTTTCTTCTTCCGTTCTGTTCTCTTCGACTTTGACATTGAGGTTCCGTTCTTTTCTTTTCATACCCGTGCCTTTGTTCGTACCTTCACCATGACGAACGCGTTTGATAATGAGGCCGAGGCTTGCCTGTTGCGGATTCATATGCAATCGCTCGATCGGGAAGCAATTGCCCAAGGCCGCGCCACAAAAGCAAAAGGAAGAGCCGAAGCACGCGTGCTTCCATCGCAGGGCGTAATATTCTTCACCTACAAAAGCGAAATAATGATGAACACAAAAACAAAAACTGAGAACTGTTTGGTCTTCCTCGAGGCTGGCTGGTACATGGTGTGGAAACTACAGAACTGCCCAAGATTTTTTTTATTAATTTTTGAATCTACTCGCATGCCGTTATTTGTTTGCCCATGGACTGCTAAAAATGTTGCTGATTCTTGGCAAAAAATGATGTGTTCGATGTGTGTGTGAATCGACTTGTACTTGTGCAGCAAGTCGACGTTTTGGCTGAAAACGACGTCACAGAAAGACGCGAGTGTGAAACGGCTTTTACTTGTACCTTGGGTACCCTGTATTTTTTTTTTGAAAGACTCAAAGTCTGTGGGGATTGCCCTAAAAATATTAAAATACTATTTAGTACTACTAAAAGGTGTTTTAATGAACACACAAAGCAATGATGATATGAACGGACGGAGAGCAAAGAATTCAAATATTCACTGGTTTGAGGGAAAGACACAAAGGTACGAGTCTGAATAAAAATCAGAATGGACTGTCGCCACCACAAAAAGTTGAACAGCAAAATCGAAGGATAAAAAATGTGAATGGCAATAGAAAGTTTTATGAAAAAGGGAAAGGTAAACTCCGAAAGAAAAGAAAGAGGAAAACCCAAACTCCTTGAACACCGCCGGAAAGGAAACTTATTATTGTCAATTGAATTAAGATTCATACAAAAGAAAAACATCAGGACGCCGGAAAACAGATCGTTGATAACATTTTCACCATATTTTAACCCTGGAACTACTGGAGGCGCTAGGCATCATATGATGAATTTGCGATTTTCAAAATGGGATTGCTGTTAGATGGGGGCTTAGAATCTCCCCAAATTTTGTGACTTTTATTTATTTTGTATTTTGTTAATGGCAGTGGGTTGTGTTTTCAAAAATTTAGTACAGTTCCGAAATGCCAGGGGGTGCTACCTAGAACTACCGTTTCATCATATGACTCCACATACCATAGGCATCAATAAAAGGGCGAATTTGGCTTAGAACAACACGTGAATAACGTGAAGAGGAATACATTTGGGAGCAAGGAGATTGGGGACCATGAAGGTGGTGATTTGTACATATGGACATGCTAATATGCACATTTCATGTGCCGTTATGGTCAATATCGTAATTCCGAACCCTGCCGAAACAGACAAAATTGTTTGTCCTAAGTTTGGAACGTGATTCACTATGTCATCTGCAGCATAGAACGATATGAAGTGCCAGGGCAGTTATA